AGATGAGCATGTGACACTGCGTACCCCCGTGTGCAATAGGTATTTTAGATAGGATCAATATTTGTGCCTATACTTTCATAAAGGCAGTGCCGCTCTCCACCTTATAGGCATTTCAACTGCGTGGGACACACAGCATGTGAATCAGTCTCAGTCATTTTTCCTCCTTAAATCCCCATCTTCTAGGATTTACTGAAATTCATATTGGCTGCCTCTGCAAGATAAATGTAAATCACATTCCCTTATATTTACTATTTATCAGGATGCAGCAGCTCACTTTCAGCAGGAAATATCTCTCACCCGCACACAAACACCCTTGCATTTAAATAGCATTTTTATTGTCCGCCATAGCCTTTCATCTGGGCGTAGGGAGAAGAGCTGCCTCTCCAGGGGAGAGAGTTGGAGCAAGAGCGGAAGGTGGGGAGAGAGAAAAGAGAGAGGGAGAGGTAGAGAGAGAGAGCAAAGCACTATTGGCAAGGCATCGCTGGATGACAAAAAGCCAAGCGGAGAGAAGGAAGGTTGGTAGGTGAAAAATAGATTATGAATACACCAAGCTCCAACCAAAGATATTTTGGAACGTAAGAGAAAATGGCAGCACATGGCTGCTCAAGAGACTTTGAAAGATGGAGAGAGCAACAAATGGCTCAGATAAACAGGGGCTAGAGAGCTAAAGCACTGCCTCTGCTGCAAGGGGAAAAAAGAACGAGGTTTGCATGCATGCTGCAAAGGTGGCTCCTTATACAGCATTTTTTTTTTGTCACAAAGCATCAAGTTTAAGCTGAGCAAGAAAATTATTAGTCACGTCACACTCATCTGCAAGCGGCGAAAACAAAAACAAGATGTATTATCACAAAGCAGAAGGCCAGAGCACGCAGAGGTACGTCTTCGGTGTCGCAGACAGAAAATCTTTCCTCAGAGTTCAAAAGTGTTGCAAAACAACAGCAAACACTAATAATCTGTGCAGAAACAGTATAGCCAGTGGATATGATTTACAGTCCCTGGATTTTCTTGGCAACTGCCGACAGCAGGTCTCTTTTTTCTGAAAGCCTCTTACATCTTTTTTTATACTTGCCAAATTGAAACAGTATTTGTTTTAATGGGAGTTCTAATTAACCAGTATGTATTCCCCCACTTGCTCTGCGAGTGGCTGAGCTATGAATGCAGGCTATGTGCTCATCCCCTTTGATTTGTTGTCAGTGGAGCCTGCCAGCTGACACAGTGCCCGGTGAGAGGCTTAATGCCCAAGTTTTAATAATGTGGGGGACTACATGAATCTCCCCCTCTCATTGGTATTCAGGTGCAGAATGTCTTGTTAGAAGTCAGGGAGGGAGGCGGAATGAAGCCAGAGCTCCAGATTGTTCCGTACATTTTCCCCTCTCCATTTTTTTTTTTTTTGGCAACGGCAGAGCTTGCTTCTTAAAAATAATTCATCCCATTTTTAAAAGAAGCGTCTGCGCTAGCTAATGGAAGAGCAGCAGCACAGTTTGGAGTCTCCCCTGGCTTATCTCTCTCAGACAGTTGTGGGGAGTCGCTGGTGAGCATGGTGTCAGCGTGCGTGGTACGGTGCAGCGCCGCGCGGGCAGGCAGGCCTGGGGACACAGATCAAAGGGAGGCAGGGGTGAGAGCCGCTCTGCCTCTGATCCCGTGTACGTGTGTGTGTACATGTGTGTGTGTGCGTGTGTGTGGAGGCCCGGCCCACTCACACAGCCCAAAGGCCCTCCTCAAATACACACAGACACACATCCTTGTCATTCCAAAACACACAACACTTTCATAAAACTGCAAAACAGAAAAAAAAAGTTCCTCACAAAACTTTGTGAACTTCCTTCATCAAAACAGCAATAAAATCTCTATCCGCCATACCTATCCAACTCACAGACTTCCCACTTTTCCTATCACGTCTCCTTATCATAAGGACACCCTACAACAGGCCCTGCATGCATTTCCCACTTTGATTCAACAAGAGAAATGCTTCCCGTTCCCTTTTTTCCCCCTCCTCCTCTATATTTCTAGAAATTCTGCCACTGAGCTCCTTTCGCTGGGCTTCAGCAAGTGCCGTTGTTTTCTTTCCTCTCCCAGCAGGTGTCCCTGTCATGCAATAATGAGGAATTCAGCCCAAACGGTTTCAAGCAAATGCAATGGCCATGAATGCTGCTTCAAAGAATCATTTGAAAAGTATCTTGCAGCATCATATTACTGGGATTTGTTGAAAATGTGCTGCGTGCTTGAGAGATGATTGCCTGTTCAAGTGCACCTCTTCAGCTGAAAGAACGCCAATTTGCTTGTTTGTTTGTTTTTTACATGTGCAAAATTAATATACAAAGTATCGTGGCGATGAAAGGTCAAAAGGTCTACTTCAAATTGAATATTAAAAATGAAAAAAGACCAGAGAGAAAAAGCAGGCGTCAAGCTTAAATCTTCAGGTAAGGATGGCTGGAATGCCTAACCTCGATGCCCTTGCCAGTACCTTTTTCCAACACCTGCTGTGCTGCTAAATGAAACAAGGCCAACAACAAAACACACTTCTGGTTTCATACCTATTGCCCAGCCATGCACAGCTTCACTCCCATGACCCCTAAATATACTGCCTCCCTCAACCAGCCAAACACGCTGTATATCCCACAATGACAGCAACCAGTTTGAGTGTGGATGGCTTTTCCACTGCCTGTAATGGGAAAATGTGTGCTGTCGGGATAGGTTATGGGATTGGGATGGACGCGAGCTCCTGTCGGGACTGCTGAACGCTGCAGGATTCCATTACAGACTTGGCACCTCGCCACCGCAGCCCATTTACTGCGAATCAGAGAATTTTTGTCAATCTTTACAGCAACCGCGAGGCCATCAATGCCAGGCACTTGAAGAAATAGCTTGCACATTCCAATGCACAAGCATATCTCGAGCAAACAGATGCCGTGTGTAACTTACAATATCATATTCTCATTTCCATCTCGATAGAGAGTCTCTTTGTGTTGATTTTTTTTTTCAATTACAGGAAAGGAGGAGAAAAAACAGGGGAATAAAAAAAATAACACGAAAAATAAACAGCGAGGTGTGGAACGCGTGCCGATAATTTCCAAAGATGAAACCCAGCCGTCGTTTGATTGAAATTCGGTTAAATGCAAGGAGAAGACAAAGCCCTCTCCGACTCTGAGATGTTAAAGTGGTTGTTTGTTCTGTGAATTTTCTGTGTCGTGAGTTTTCTGTGACGAGCTTGCGAAGTGAGAGGGGGGGACAGATAGGAGCTGCCCAGCACAGCGGGATGCTGCACCAGGGAGTGAACTCTGATTCTGCTGTCAGTGGGAGCATTCATGTCCACGCTGAGAGACTGATAGGAATGCCACACATCATTCTGCATGCGTTCACTTCAGTGCGGTGCAAACTACTGCGCAGCCAAAACATCCACACCATATACATATGGAAACTCCCCCACACATGAAAGCTGAAAACGCACACAGTTTAACTTCAAAAATAATTAAATAAATCTAAAAAAAAAAAAAGGACAATAAACAAATAAAGTTTATTTTAGGTTGTTTTATACAAAGACTTTTGTCAAACCATGTCGATAGAGTAATTGAATACTGAAAATCCAGGCTGCACAGTTGCCCAAAGGCTCCTGTCCTAATCCTCACTATGACAGGAAATGTTTAATATCCCAACACATTCTGGAATGTCTACGAAGAGAAGGAGAGAAAGCGGCAGTGTACCCCACGCCAGTATTAGAGAGCCATTAATGAAAAAAAAAAAAAAAGACTCCATGTTCCTGGTGTTTTTCTGCAGGTTTGCAGTGAGAGCATTAGCAGTTAAAGCCTCTGTGCCACGATTAACAATCAAACACGCTGTGAGCCTCCATGTTATCCTCCGTCGCTCCAGAAGGAGAGAAAATCTCTTTTTTGTCACAAAATCCTTAATTCTTTCTTCTCTGAAGAAAGAGGGTAATACCAAGAATGTTTCCAATCTGCTTTGAGAAATATTTGAAGAAAAAAAAAAAAGAAAAAAAAAACTCCCAATAAAACACGTGTGAACGACGGGGTAATTGTGGACAAATGCAGCATTGAAATTCATTTTCAACTCTTTACACACCATTTCAATCTTATTTTCTGCCTGTTAACCACATCTTGTTGGTGAGGGTGGGCAAGACTGGCCAGTATTGATGGGTAATTGTGTATAATTCACTCCGTACACACGATTTGCATCAATACAAATCATTTTTCATTCTCTGCTACTTAAAGCTCAACCCTTACCACAGAGTCCTATTTAAACGCTCATTAATGGAGGAGTCCAAAGAGGTTAAACATCTGAAATCCAGCAATTTAGAGAGAAGAAGGCAAACAAATGTGCACATATAGCCGCGTGCTTTAAGATGGCAAAAGGAGAATGGGTGGGGATGATCCTTTTTTATTTCAAAGGGAAACCCAAGGTGGTCCCCGTAATATTAAAAAAGGAGGTAAAGTGAGCAGCAAGGTGAACTTACAGGAAAGCCTGTGCCACCCTTCTCAGAGATGCTTGTAAATCGCGTCGTAAAGACATGAACAAAATCACACATAGCACTGGAGTCCTCCAGCTGCAGACAATTACGTGAAGAAGATTATGGGTATACATTTATAAGCTTTAGCTAATTATTTCATCTGCATGTGTTCTCTCTCTGTGCTGTGCAGGATTTAGATGTCCCAGGAAAGTCGAAACCGCTGTTTGGAGCAGCTTGAGTACTTGCGGTGCTATCAAGATGAATTTTAATTTGTTGATGTTAATCCAATTGTTTTACAAATGTAGCAATTTAGAGTAGCTAAAATAAATCCAGGGCTTTGGAACATGAACATAAAAGCTCACACTGGCAGTTATTTTGCTGAACACGCTGTTTCTGAATTTTAATTTGCAGTCAAATACAATTACACATTCTGAAGTGTGAGAGGAGGAGGGGGAGGAGGGACTTTGGTACACTAAAGAGTGTGAACGCCACCTATGTGGGAATATGCAGACAAGTGATGAAAGTTCACTGGACTGACCTGCGGGGAGAGCCCGTTGCCAACGGAGTTCATGTGGTTGCTGGATGCTGAGGGGCTCATGAATGTGTCAGAGTAGCTGGAGAAGCTGTGGCGATTGGACGACAGACCGTAAGCAGAGCTGCTGTCAGCACTCAGACCTCCCTGATGCATGGAGGATGGAGGCAAGGGTTGGGGCCTGTGCAATGTACTGCTGCCCTCTGACATAAAAAAAAACAACAACACATGAGCACAGGTGAGAACAAATCAGGAAATTTTCTTAAAATTTTCTTAAAATCTGGGCTGAGGCCCACCGGGAATCCTCACAGAGGCCTCACAGTTTGAGCTCAGTCAGTCATAAGTCACACATTAAATGTCCTTCCTGTGTATTCTTTGGCACGTAGAAATGCAGCTTTACACAGGAAAAGCGTAAAGGACAGAAATGACCTTTGCTCATAATACAACCCTTATTTTTGTCCCACTGTGACAAAGATGTGATTGTAAAGATAACTGCTCGCTGCATGGTTCTTATATGCTGCACATGATTCAGACATAATTTATGACACTATTACCACAAAAAATACGGATGGCATACCACAAATAAGCAGGACTAATGTAATATTTACCTAAATTTGATTAAACTCCGAGAACAGAACATAGAGTATATTTTGGCTGGATGTTGTGTCAACCTCACCCTGCGATAGTGTGGTGCTGGGGTAGCTGGACTCTGGTAGCTGGTATGTGGGTAAAGTTGGCATCCCCGTGGGTGGGAATCCTCCAGGAAGAAGGTGGTTGAAGGCAGCTAGCTGATTGGCCCCGGCCTGTTTGCGCCACCGAGCCCGCCTGTTGCTGAACCAGACCTGCGGGAATAAACCGGATCTTGTAAAAGGTATGACTCCACATGGCTCACAGGATTTTATTTTATTCATTTTCAGCTGTTGTTTTCAGCGTCGTCTGTTTTTAACCATGACAGACTCTCAGTGGAGTCCGTCGGCTCCTGCCACCTGCAATTAATCTGCTGGTTGGCGTGAGTGTTGTTGCTGGTGCTGTAGGAGCTCAGTAGTGTGGTCCCTGTCTTTCTTAAGTGGTTGAGGCTGTGATCTATGTAAACAGGCTGCCCTAAGTCCACTTCAGAAGGAAGGAGTCGTTTAAAGGTCAGAGGTAGGTCACTAAGCTCCGCATCACACACCTCGAGTATGTTTGCGAAGCTGCTGCATGCTTTGAGGGAGGCCCATTTTTCCCATTTCTGTAAACACAGTTAACTTGTTTATAGCTATTGTTGTTTCAGTGTGGCTGTGTGGTTGTTTTTAAAGGGGGAAAAAAACAGGTTTTAACTTCAGAGTTGAAACGCGAAGTTCTAAGGCTACAAACAGCAAAAATGCTCGCAAAATGAGCAGCGCTACTGAAGCGCAGACACACAATGTCACTTCCCTGAATGAAAGGGGGGGAAAAAATTGGACCCTCTGGAACGGCAAAGATTTACACACTTTAAAAAGGCTTCTGCTTCAACAAAACATGAATATAATCAAGCCCTTTTGAAAAGATCCTGCAACCTGTTCCATTTAACCAAGACAAGGCCCGGGTTTCACTGTGTGCTAAGGGTTGAAGGACATTGATCTATGCCTCGCACAGGCAATTCATCAGAGTTTAATACACTGTCAGCGCAGTTCATCTACTGTTGTGTTTCAAACGGCCAGGGCTATTGTGAGAGCACATGAAAGAAGGGGACAAAAGCCCCTCCATACGCCACAGAGAACAGTGGACACAAAGAGGGGGCGTCCCTTTTAAACAGGTCTTAAAGAGGGACACTTTCAAGGGGACTTACACAGCGACATACTCACTGCTTTTTGGGGGCTGCCTCTTTTTGTACACACAAACATACATATAAACTTGTAGAGGCTACAAGGGATCTCAGCCCGTCGGAGATCTTAATTTGAATGTGCTTCTTTTCAAACACATTCACTGCCTCTGGTGTTTTTCTTTTCTTTTCCTTTCTTTTATTTGGACTATTACTCAGTTTAGTAGCGAGTGCTTAGGAGAAAGAAAATAAGATGCAACAGGCGATGACTGTGTCGGCACTTGAGAAAAGGGCAAACCTCAATTATGCAGGTGGAAAACCAACAGGAAATCTTTATCGCAAGCCCGATTGCTCCTGAAGACTACGTCTGAATCCCTCAATCAGCTATTCCAAAACAAATGTGGTGTGTGTGGCTTTTGGGAAATTTCTGCTATTGGGATGTAGTGGAGCGTGGTCCAAAGTCTGAACTAAGCTCCAACTGGGCCAGACAAACAGCTGCCTAGGCTCAGGGGAGGAGGACACGGGGGGGGTACACCCCTTCCTTCCACACACTCCCGTTCACCCCACCCCGCAGTGCCACTTCACCTCCGACCTCATCGACTCACCCCACTCGTCTTTTATGTTCACTTTAACTTCCTTCTCCCTTTGTCATCTGAGCTTAGGAAGGAGCTGTTCCATCATGGTAGCCACAAAAACACTTAAAACACTGAAGTCACTTTTTGCTTTCACCATTTTCCTTTTTCACAGATACATATTCACAGCCTTCTATTGTTAACTTTGCCTATATATTTATATATTTTACTTCAAACTACTGTTTTTTTTATTAAACCTATTTTTTCCTAATTGTGAACATTTGTTGAAAACATCTGACATACAAAGTTTGTGCAAATTTAGTTTAGTGCAAATGTTCAGTTAAATAATTTAGTATATACATTTCATCTATCATGCTACTATGGAAAAGCTATTTCTGCGGCACAGGGGTCTGATCTCAATCATTTCTCATCTTGTTCCAGCTGCTGGAAAGTCTCACACAGAGAAAACTCTGGAATATCATCATGATTTATTGAAAGCTGCAGTACTCTGAGAATTTCAACAGTGAAAGTTTTGCAGACTACCATACAGGCTGCAGCTCTGTCAACATGCACAAACAGTGGATGCAATGTTTAACATATTGGACGGAAGATGAGCATGCATCACAGACTGAATGGCTTTCTCCAGCAATCACTGGGCTCTTAGCACAGACTGGGATAAACATGTATTCAAGAGCCTGTACACTATCACACACATGCATACATTACTTGCACAGTCTTATACATGCACACATCCACTCTCACACTGACTAACACACAGCCTGAAGCTGAGGATTTGAGGCTGCGCTCTGGAACCTGATCACAAAGTCACCTTGGACCACAGATTCTCCTCTGCTATCCCCAATCCGGTTTAATTCTCTGCAGTACAGAAAGCTGCAGCACTTCTCCATGACTCCCTATCTACCTACAAGTGTGCAGTTGAATTCCAATGGCTCACTTGTGCTTTGTTTTTCACGTACTAAACTGTTTTTTGCATCTAGTGCACTTGGACAGGCCTGCACAGCAGCTCTGGATCTTTATGGAGGACGTTTTGGGAGGAAGGGCGAAAAGAGGAGATCTAAAACTCAACATTAGGAGTGAAGATTGTTGTTGAGTGCAACCAGAGTAGAGGCCGTAGATGCAAACCTGAAACACCTCAAACAAAAAACAAACCCCCCCTGCAAATACGACAAGGAGCAGGACAGTTTAAGTCTCGTGTCTGTGTTTAGCTGCATGCGTCTCTTTGCTGCATGTAATCTTCCATTCACCCTCAGCCAGCAGAATCGACTCCCAGCGATCAAGTGGCATTTGGCGTTTTCTTATCACCGATCGGTGATGACACACGCGCGCACACACTCACACTAACACTGTAAAGGCGTGACACTGCACTGCAGTAAAAACCTGTCAGTGTTGTTTCTCTTAAATAGGATCACTCATATTTCAGGATTCTCCATTTATACAATCCTCCATGAATTATTTTGTCAAAGACAAGTACTGAATGTGTGACGCCTTTCAGGAGCCAATTTGCACCATTCGGTAGATGAATACCAAGAGCCGAGATAATGACAAAACAAAATGTGCTGCTGACTTCATATCCACAGAAAACACAGAGGGGTGATGCAACCAGCTTCAACACACAAATCCTCTTCTGTCTCATACCACGCAATACCCCCCTCACCTCCTCCCTCACACCTCCCCTCCTCTCGCCTTCCCCTCTTCTTCTTCTTCTTCACCCCCCACTCCCCACTTCCCTCTCTCTGATTCCCTCCCTGCCTGCCTTCCAGACTGGCACTATGCTAATTAAAGTAGCTAGGAGTGTGAATTTGTGAGGAGAGTGGGATTAGCTTGATAAGTATCAGGAGTACAGAAGCACTGTACCAAAGTCATTTAAATTCTAATAATAAGAAACTGTTAGAACATTCACACTGATGCATTGCAACAATTTCTCCCGTACAATCTACACAAATCCTATTTATTCCTTTATGAAAAATAAACCCGTACTGGCGGGAATGTAGTTGCCCGTTGGATTTGGTGGCAACAATAACCAGATCCATCGTGCCTTTTCTGCTGAAACTCAATGACGACCTAACAGTCAGGGAACTGTGTATCACCTTTTGACATTAAGATTATATTTTCACCAGCTATTTGGAACGTTTGAATCAGCATTAGTCTGAATTCAGCTACACTGCTCTGTGACGTACAGATACAGAGGCCGGCCCGGCACACAGACTCCACCGAGGCCTGTTTCCCTGTTGCTCGCTGCATGCGCCAACAGGTCAGTGCGAGCCACAGATAAAGAGAGAAACTTTTTACCAAATTGATTTGCACACTTCGTAAAAGCAATGCTTATACCTTATTAGATTCCACTAACTATAATAGCTACATGCAGAATGTTTATTGGTAATGAAAGGGGACCTATGTGACAGATTCGGGAAAGCTAGCCAGCAGCAGCAGCACGCTGAGATGATGAGCCTCAGCCGACACTCTGGAGTCAGTCTCTTTGGAAACTTCAGTCTAAATAGAGGGGAATGTAATTTGCTTCATTTGCTAGAGCTGATTTATGGAGGCCTGCACAGCTCTCCCCATCCTGGTCCACTCCTCAACACAGGGAACAAACACAAGCGCTGCTCTCCTGGAATGGCTTTGCTGCCTGCTCCTGTTAAAACTGAGGGGTTATCAGATGGAAAGTGGCAGAGCATACTGCATCAGTGGAGGATATAGTGAAGGTAGACTTGGCAGTGTCCCCTCCTACTGAGACAGGCTGGAACTAATTGCTGAGAGATATGGATCATATCCCACAATTTGTCAGTTGGGGTGATAAAACCACTGCAGGGCTCGGGGTGGTAAGGGAGTGCTGGTAGCTCTGCTGAAAGGGGCAGCGAGGTTGATAAAGATAGATGGTGAAGGGGTCTTAAAATGGCAGGCGAGGGCAGACACAAGGGAGTTAGCTCTGTTTACGAGTTTGGGTTGTGAGTCAGCGCTAAGCCAAACACTCATCACTTCAACGAGAATCAAGCGGTTTAATTTACAACACGGCTTTGAGCTCTGGCTGCTGAGCGCCAGCGCGGCCATGTTTGCAGAGGTGCTTGCCGCACGAGTGCTTTTACCTCTGCACCAAACCTAAAAACTGCTTTTCACATTATCGCTGTGTTTAATGACAAATGGATAACAGCGAGCAGTGACAGCTGACACACATACGAGTTAAAATATGAGTCTATGAGCCTCCTCCAACACCCCCCTTCCTACAGACAGTTTCTCAGCCCCAAACACCGGTTAAGTCTCTGAACGACATCTGGAAGATACGTCATTGCAGCTGTGCTGGAGAGGCTTTTCTCTCAGGCCAAAGGGTCTCCTCTCTTCTGCCCTGTGATGGGCCATTTGGGCACCTATATGTAAGCCCAGCTGGTGGAAATTTCCCGAACAAAGTGATACAAATAGCACTCACATGAACAAGCTGGCAAATTTACATTTAAACAACATCCTTTCATATTTAGCTTCTATTCTCTCTCTTACTGTTTAAATACTGAAATGTTTATGTGGCATCTCCAGTAGTCATTAAGAACAAACCCCGAGATATATTTGGGGAAACAGAGATAAAACTATCAGAAAATTCTTAGAACCACAATCCTTGAAACATGCTCGTTGCACTGTAGGGCAACTTTGGGCATTAATATATTTTGGCTACCAGAGTCCCTTTCTTTGTAACCTTCTCAGAAAATTAAGTTTAAGTTGACCTTTGGAGACTTTCAAAGCCTTAAAGAATTAGATTATGAGCAAAACAGCATTAACAAATTATAGCCATGTCTCAAATTCCTCAGGTTTTCACATGACATCATTTAAGTCTATTATCTAACAGCAGAGAGGCAGCAGTCGCTTCATGTTCTTTTTCTCCTGCTCTCATGTTTACATGAGATACACATTAAGTCACGCTTGAATTTTTCTTTTAAACCCAAAGAGTGACCACTCTCCCTGATGACTTTGAAGTGCACTACAAAGATGTATATACTTATATCACCTCTGTCATAAGGTTTGCTTAGTTTGTGTGGCTATATTTGTCCGATCAAAATGCAAAATTGAATGCTATTTTTAAATCAATAAAATAACTATCTTGTCTTGACTCGCTTCTTACACTACAAGAAACCCCCCTCAAATATATTGCCTTGTAACAGCGGTGAGATACATTTCTCCTTCCCTGAGTGAGGTATTACACACTCAGACATATTGGACATCCTTGTTGGGGGGTTTCAAGATGGACAAAGACATGTGTGGAATCAGTTACCCAATTGCATGTTTGGAGTGTGATGCACAGTTAGCATGCAGTGAGGAGTTGGAGGGGTTAGGGTAGTGTGAATGACTGTGGTAAGAGGAGAGGGGTGCCCCAGACCCTTATTCTTTTTTACTAGCAGTTGATTGATTAATGTTGTTGTCGGAGCATAGGGTCCCCAGAGAGGCTGAAGAGCCCTGTGTGATATGTGGAGGGTTTTACAAGCAGCGGCGAGCTTGAAAGTGATGGGATGAGATCCTGGCCAAAGGCCGAAATGAGAAATCCATCAGGAATGCATTCCCTTTCTCTCCTCTCCCTTTTTTTCTCTCTCCCTCAATCTTTGGTAGAACAGCTGCTGCTATAACTCTACTGTACATATCTTTCTTCAAGCTTACATACAACTGCAGGGCACTCAGGCTGTAGGACAGGTCCCCGGATCTGAGGTGCGAAGGAGGGGAGTATCTCTGTCAAAGTACTTGAACATGAAAGATAATGGTAGACAGCAAGCTTCCTTACATGCACAGTGAAGTATGACAAAAAGGGGCAATATGGCCCTGATGGATGTGTACACCAGTACCATGGGTAAAAGAAGGCAAATGTTAGGTTTTGGGAAAAAGATATTGCTCCTTGCAGTATCTTTAGTTGTTGGTTTAGTTAGATGTTAGCATTTATGCAACACAGAATCCCTTAAGTCTTCTGTATTGGGCTAGGCCTCAGTGATTTTCAGCATTGATGGGTTTTTTGCACAAAGCATAGCTAAACCTCAATTACACATGCGCTTCTTAAAGGAGTAATGTACCTTACTTACAAATAAACTTCTGAGCACTTTGCTGCTAATTTTTCATGTAAATTAACCTTTAAGATTTCATCTTAGGTGGATGTTTGCAGCATCAAAAATCACTGGAACTCTTTCATTTTTTTTTTTTTTTTTTTTTTTTTTCAAACACAGTGTAACAAGATTTGCTGCATGTTCTCAGAGTTAACTGGAAAGCGATGTTTGCTGTGTACTGATGTCTCAGACAAAGGGGTCTCAAAATGATCCAAACTTCACAGCCGAGCACCAGCGGAAATGCGTTTTCATGCAGTCTGACTACATCACAGTGTGCATGCTTATCAGTCCGAGTACTGGTACTGCTTGTCTAACCTGTACTCTGGCCTCTGTAAGTTTCGTCCTCTGAGCCAGCTCCTCTCTGGTGTAGATGTCAGGATAATGCGTCCTTTCGAAAGCCTTCTCCAGCTCTTCCAGCTGCTCGGCGGTGAAGGTGGTGCGGCTGCGCCTCTGCTTCCTTTTAAGAGGCAAGTCGGGCTCAGAATCGACATCTGAACCATCATCTGTCCGGTTACCTGAGGGGAAAAGGAAAGGACAGAGGGCCAGATGTATCATCACTAAATGAAAACAAGCTAAGAAGCCTTTTATGTGAATAAACTGAGTGGTGAGGGGGGAAAATAGCCGCAAATATGGGTTGAAACTTATCATAAACTCAGCATTAAATGGATTCTAAAAGAGCCTCTTTTGTAGTCTCAAGAGTGGGGGACTGGCAACACAGTGGATTCAAATGACAGCTACTTTTCTCTCAGTATACAACTGGGAGAATATTATCTTAATCTGTGGATATTTATTTAATATAGAAGAGCCCCTGATATACAATCCTGCCTCTGAGAGGGGCCCCAGAGGCTGTGAATGCAGAGAGCTGAGGGGGAGTGGGGTGTTGGTGGGTAGAGGGGTTAATCTGCACAGGCCACCTTGCTGCTCCTCACCCTGCTTTTCTCTGTCATTGGCCCAGGGCACACTGCTCATACACAGTGCAGCCAAAACGTATAAAATAGAACACAATATCACACCAAAACCATTCAGTCCCATGTGTTTCCATCTGCTGTCATTAAATGAATTAGAACACATTTTACATTACTTTTTAGGCATTCAACTAAGCTGAATTTTTGCTCGAGGAATATAGATACAGCACAAAGCCGTACAATCCAGGCCGACAGGGAAATTTTTGACAGCAAATATGCATTACCATTGCACATTACCATTATAACTGAATTTAGAAAATTGCATCATTTTCACCTCCTCTGCATGTCTATTCAAACTACATGGCCCTTTTCATTTCATGTCATAAAATTCATATTTTCATAATTTCCTCATTGAGACATTGACAAGGCTGCGTGATGTGCCAGTGTTGCTCCAGGCCTAGTTGGATTGCATCACGCACAGTCCAGAAAGTGTGGGAGAGGGAAAATAAAGAGAGATACTGAAGAAGAGGGTGCATGAAGAGATTTCCGCCTCTGACAGAGGCCCTTTGCCATTCAGCTCGAATGAAAAACTATGCTGCTCACCTGAGTGTCTCGCCTGCGACTGATTTGTTGTTTTACAGCTCCAATCTCCGCTCGTAGCTCACTCTAGTCAAATCTTTCAACATAAGTGGACAAAAGAATACTCAGACCTGGCCTCCAAATAACAACTGTGAGAACAAAAGAGCAACAGAGCTGGCGGAGTCTCAAGGCCAGCTCCAGAGTTTAATTAAACAAGGAATTATGGGATTATATGGAGACTATCATTACAGGCCACTCTATGAGTCTTCTACGAACATTTTTTGTCCCCCTGAGCTCATGCTCAATGATTCTCTGCGGATTACATGTGTCCGCAGGACATGAGGCCGCATTCATTAAATCAATTCTTCAGTCTTATCCTTTTTAATAAAGATTGATTCTTGAAGCACAAGCTCACTCCGCTGCAGAACACCCTTGAACATACAAAGTTGAATATGTACATACACCACATATCCCTTTGTTGGTTTTCATGAGGATGCGTACATCCATTTGGGCAATAACTTGCCATGACGACACTTGAGACCAGCCCAGCGGTCTGCGGATCACTTTCCAAAGTCACCTCTGTGTCCTACAGGGAGACGCCGGGGCCACAGCCGACACATTCTCAAGGGGTTCGGAAAAAGACACCAAAGTCTTCTCCTCCTCAACCGATTTTTTTGTCCTCCCCTTTGTTCGAGGTGGGTTTTTTTTTTTCACTGACTTTATTTTGTCACTAAGCTGATGTGGCAATCTTTGTCACATTTAGCACCCATTAGCAGGCAAATGACTCCTAAGCACCTCAGCAGACAATAGCTTGTACTTCTGCTCGTCATTAAGCCCCGCAGAGCCAACACATCTGCTCTCTCGTACATGAACCAGAAGCACGAGGTCAGCGGCCCTGCCTGTAATGAGTAAGGAAAAATGGAACACGGCACACGCTGTATGGAGCCAACTGGGAATGGGGTTGGATGTGAAACTCATCTATATGCTTACTATATTTGGGTGAGAGAGAGCCCGCCGCTGATTGCAGCGGAGTTGCAATAAAGGACAAGTCTATCCAAAGAGCGGAGGAATTAAAACGTGGTCTGAATATATGCCAGTTAAACACAAGCACGCATGCACGCACACACAAGTACATACAGAGAAAACAGCCACGTCTTCGGCTGTTTTCGGTACAAAACACTTTAAAATCAAAATTTCATGTCTCCTTTTTCTCCTCACTTATTTGCCAAGGTGAACAGACAAAGACAAAATACGACAGAACAAAATCCCTGCAGGGCTGTCAAGGTCAATTCCTTAATGGTCTGTTCGGCACAAAAAAGGTACATTCTGATTAGACCTTTATATAATACGACTGCTGTAATTTCCATTCAAATGTTCGTGGGATATTGATAAACCACTCATGCCTTGTCTCATTGCTTATTGTGCAATTAGAATCTAATTATGTGGCATCCAGTGGGCACGATTAGTGTCGTGTACTCTCCTCCAGGGGCCCTCTGAGGTTTTCCCTCAACATTGATTTAAAATTGTGCCCCATAATAAACAGGAATTAATCAGGTTTGCACTCTGCTTTGTCAAAGTAAATACCTGATAAAGATTCAAATTAGCACTGGTTAAACGAGATGGTTATTGCACAGACGGGTTTAAGGACCGACTTGAAGATAAGACAACACTGATCTACAATATTACAAGTTACAGTCCCAAAATATGACTGATCTGATAAGTTTAAGAAGGCAAAAAGTCAATGATACAAGTAAACACATCCATACTACTGTGCAGATCTGCTGCATACATTTTATATACACCTATTTCTATTATTCTGTTTTGCAGTTAGTATTTTACCAACTGGGAAAATTAATCAGATTTTAGATTTTAGATTTTGAAGATATTTTTTAAGATTTATTTAAGATATATTTATTTTGAAAATCCATCAAAAAACACATATTTGTATTTTCTTTCTTGAGATGTTTCACATCCATGTCTATATCATTCAATAGGAGGTCTATTTAGACTAAACATATTTATTATATTTAGTATTTAGCAATTTTTCGTTAAGGTTTTAATGTGGGTTTGTTGCTTTGTAGAGTTTTGCTTTTATTATATGAACTATTGTTGGTATAGTGAAATAAGGTCGGTGATGGGTGGGGCTGGGGTCTATAGTACACGTGAAGCTTACAGATGTGAAGAACCGCATCCTTTCACCTCAGCGTGACTTTGCGTCAGCGATGCTTTAATTCTGAGCAGACCTTTTAGATAGCACATTCCTCTTGGTCTTGAAGGACTCGAGCTGCTAGTTAATAGTTTTAAGGTTACTGTGAGGTTTAAAGCCTGCTCTCTTGCTTGATGCTCCTCTGCTGACCTTGCAGACAGAACACAGGCAGATGGGATCCTCATCACCCCGTTTCCTCAAAACCCGTCCTCATGTCGACCCCCTCCCCACCTACTCCTCCAGGGCTCCTCGCATTCTCCCTCCAAACCCTCGGACTCCTCCGGTCCTCCACCTTTACCCCCGAGACACTGAAGTAATCCTGATTAAACGGACAGCTGTCCAATCAATCCGCACAATTAACCACATGATCTGCGGGGTTACAGGTTTACGATACGTCACCCTACCAATAAACTTCACGCCCGCCCGGCATTTAAAAACCCTGGCCAAATTTGTGCATCTGATACGTTTAGTTGGTGCTAAAAAGCACAAGAAAAAGATAGCTCGGGACTGATAAATAAAACTATTTTAGAGCTTTTATTTAGAAGTAAAATATATAAATAAAATAATACTTTGGGGAAGGAATTACAATGCAAAAACAAAAGACCATTTTACCAGAAGATTAAAACTTTACTTTCAAAATCATAAAAAATGGGGAAAAAAATCATGGTTTTGCAGCAGTGCAGGTGCTTTATCCCCTATCTCACCTGTCAGCAGTATTAGCATCAAGTAAAGTGGCACTCATCCTAGTCAGGCTGTCTCTGATATCATAACCCATGGCCTCAATATCAGCCATACCTTTGCAAACTATCCAAGACAGAGGGACAAAAACAGACAGGGCTTTGGCAGTGCAGCATTAGCTCATAATGGCTCATTTTGAAAAGCATATTAGTTCCAGCATAATTACAATCAGGCCTCACGCTCTCTGTTTTGCAGGCATTCACAGGACCAGCCTGTGAGCACCGAGTCACACCAGTTGACTGTGACTGACAGCAGATTTAGTTAAAAATGGTGTTTTTTCCTCCCTCTTTTTTCCCACAGGACAAAAATAACACCACATCTTTTCTCCCTATTTATGTTGACTTGTTTATTTTGTGCCTACCTTTTGTCGTACTTGATACTGCAATTATACTTTTTGTCAGTCAGAGGGGGTGAATATCAAAAGGCCTAATTATGCAAACAGGCCTGTGATAAGAGGCATCTGCCTGAGATGGGATCTGCTATCTCTGACATGCATCTGTCTCTGTGCTGTCTTTGCTGCTCCAGGCCTGCATATAAACAGCCCTGCCTGTCCTCAGGACTGCATGCGATTCAACCACCAACACTGGAGTGGAGGGATGTTTCGGGGGCGGGGGGTGGATCGTGCAGCAACATCAAATAACTAACAACTTCCCAATTTGCATTTTTTGGAGAATGGTGCGGCATCTCTGCTTAATGCACTTGCCTGTTCATCCTAAAGGGGTTGCCAAGTTAAAGGAGGCATATGATTCAAGGCATTTACCGCAGGATGTATCTGAGATAGGAACCTCGTGTGAATACAAGATAGACGACAGCGATAACCAGAATGGTTTATAGACAGATGCTCTATGAATAATCTCTTATTCCCCCTGTAGTTATCTCCCCGCATGTGAAAAACAAATTCAAAACTCTGAAAGCAACGCATAACCTCGGAACAGCTCGAGTTTACTCGTTTGTACGGTAATAAAATAGTCAGATCAACACACCAAATAATTTATCAAAAGGCTGCATGTGTGGCAAAACCAGGTTAACTGCTCACTTGGTCTGGTAATAGGCCAGAAAGCGTTATCACTTTTCTTGTTGTTGGCAA